GCCGCGAGCACGGGCCATGACTCAGCTTGCCGTGATACTGGTGCTGATTTAAAGCTTCGATTTGGGCCCGAGCTTCGACATTTTGGCACGGCTCCACGCACAAGTTTTACAACTTTGCCCGAACTGTTTCCGAACGGGCCAGGATGAGCCACTCCTCTGCCACATCTCCGGCCCGCCCCCGCCCCGGCCCCGGCCTGACCGCACCGAGAGCCTCTGAACTTTGACAAAATTTCGCAGATCGACGCGTTGTTGTTGCGCCGTTGGCTCCTCCAGTTCACACTACTTTCACACTAGTCACTAGTCACAGCCGCATCAGAACTAGTTGGGATAAGCCACGAGGCGTGTACGATTTGATCACTTGGTTTGCGCGACGACGTGCCTAGCCTCGTTGACAGACACGCCGAGAACCTTGAATGCAGAGTCATGCAAGCATTCTGTAACCTTCAGTTTGAAGAGGGGGATTCGACTGCTGCAGTCGACATGCCGTCAGGCTACAAGGCTAAGCCGGCGAAGGCAACGCGAAGCCATGCGCTCCGGCCAGAGAACATCCGCATTCTCAGGCAAAGCGAGAGAAAGTTCTGTGGGCCGCAGCTCGGAGAGGTCCAGGCTCTGCAGGCCTTGCCCAAGGTCTGTTCTGTTTGACTTTGTGTACTCAGCGGTCGTCAGCGGCCGTTCGGTCCTCCTTCCAATCGGAAGCTCCGAAGGAGCAGCCCCTCGGGTTTCTGAAGCGCGGCCAGCTTCCCAGCACGAAGCTCAAAGGTCCGAAGCTGATCAGTAACCTGCACAAACCATGCATCATGAAGGTCATACTCGCTTTTGCGCCGTCGGGACTTCGCTTCGCCGTACGAAGCACTCCGACCTCCCAGTCGAAATCAAAGTCACGAAGGGAGGGGCAGTCTGCGAGAAAATGCTCCAGGTCAACAGCCTCAGCTGCTCAGTTCAAAAGTCAACTTTGTTCAAGAGGCTGCAAGAAAACTTGTTAACCTCCACGTGGGCACACCATGTCGGCGCATAAGAGACGGGTAAACTGGTCTCTGCCAGTCTCCCGAGTTCGGATCACGAGGAAGCTATCCACCCCCGTCTATCTAGCAAGTCCCGACCGACAGAACACGCAGCTGGCTCACTTTGGTGCCACTCTGTCTTTGGGCATGAACTCGTCGACGGGTGTTTGGCCACCACCGAAGCCATGTGAATTCCTTTGTCTGTCTGAACTTGCGCCTTCTTGGTTTCGCCAATGCTTTGGGGCGTCTTCCTCCAGCTTTTGCAATGCTCCCTTGAGGCCTTGGCACAAGGCGCGGCCGGGGCTTCCGGCAGCCAGCTGTGGCACCATACTTTGCTGCAGAGACTGCAAGACCTCCGAGGGCAGGATTCGTGCAAGGCCGTAACCCGTTCGCATCTCCAAGCGCCTTTGGCCTGTCAAGAGCAGGATCAGAAGCCCCGTGTGCAGACGCTGGTCGCCCACGCCCCAAAAGTTCAAGAGAGCAGCAGCAAAGCCCGTTGGTTGAACATCCGCAGCTAAGGAGTCCAAAACTACAACGACAGCTTCGGCCTTCCACTCCCGCTGGAGCTTCTCGCACAACTCATCCACTTCTGAGCGGTCGCTGTCGGGCAGAAGCCGGGAAGGATCTGAAACCCATGATGTTTCGACGAGCCGAGGATTCACAACGTCGTGCACGCGGCCCGGTCGAAATATCTCCTGAAGAGCCCCCTGAGGGAGAGTGCTGAACTGCCGAGGCCATCGGGGCCTAATGCATCGGCCATAGCCACGAGCTACTGCGGCCGTTCTTTGCATGGCGAAGTGCAACTACACTTGAGCCATCGCTTCAGCATTCAACGTCATGTGCCCACGGGCGTGTACATGGAGTATGTAGGGTCGGTGCAAACTCCACATGAGTTCCAAAGCGCAGCTGACTCGCAATGCTCTCGCAATAGATGTACGGCAGTTGGGGTTTCAGTGCACCCAGGAGCAGTTCGCAGGATTGCGACATGATAAGGGATTCACCATCCACTCTTCTATGTGGCAGCCGGGGTCCATGCAAAGACATGCTTGTGAGAACAGCTTTTGGAGTTAGATTCACTGAGACCACGTTCTACTGTTGACAAGAACGTGCGGCCAGCTCGTCAGATGTATGCTGACAGGCAGGCATTGCGACTTGGGGGGGACCAAGCCGGCGGCTTACGAGTGAATGCATCGTGTTTCAGCATGGCAATCCAAAGACAGCGAACGACGGGGTGCAAACCAACGGAAGACATAATTGCATCGAGAAGACACTGAATCTGAGCTTCTCAAGCGAGGGCGTGTGGGATATCGCCACGCTACTTAGGCCTCCATGAACTTCCAGAGGCACACCAAAGCAACTCGCACTGACAACAGAATTTTGACTCTGCTAAGTGCCGCACCTTGCACACGTACATCCAAAACTTTCAGGTGTTGCCGTGCAGAGCAGCTGAGCAGCGCTGAGAAAGCCCTTGCCTGAACAAGTGGGTACCAGTAGGCAGCTAGGCCCTGCTAGGCTGAAGCCACAGGTGTGCAATGCATGTCTTGGCGCATGCAGGCCGTCACCTGGCCGCGAAGCTCGAGCTTGGTCAAAGGCTCGGGTGTCATGCGCTGTGCACACGGCGCCAGGGCACCCCGGTTGCGCAGATCTCCAGGGAAGTGCAACAGCTGAGATTCATCACAGCAACTTCGTCACGCCACCCAGAAAACATCTGAAACCACGACGCCGAACATTCAATCGAGGAACCAGGAACCGCTCCTTACAAGTGCATCATACGAGCGACGCGACGTCTGCCCGTCGTCTCGGAACCCAGCCAAGTCACCCAAAAAGATCACGACTTTGGCCCAAAGCTCCGGAACAAGCTCAGGGGAGGATCGCTCTGGCACCTGACAAGCTCTGCCACAGCACGCAACCGACTAACTTGCACCTGCATGACTGGACAACCTTGGGCAAACTTCGTGACCGCAACAGTTCCGCCATCCGTGCCTGAGCAACATGGGGGATGTTGCATAATGTGGAAGGAAGACGAGGGGATACAAGGAAGCTGTCTCAGGGGCAAACCCGGACGATGTTGTGCTTGGCTGCCATAGCAGCCATCGACCCAAGTGCTCTACTTGACGGGACAGTGTGGAGATGTGTGGAGGCGTGTGACAGCCGACGCAAGTACCAGTACCATGGTTGCCTTCGGACTCCTTCCCATTCCAGCTCTTGCAGAGCAGAAGCAGCAGCTCAAATGAACACGAAATTTCTCTGGAAAACAAAGCACTGCTCATTGGCCAAGGGCCTGGCCAAAGTCTGCCATCTTGGCCGTGCCGTGCCTGTCCAACAGGATGTTGGCCTGAGCGGTTGGAATCAAGCACTAGGCTACTGGCGGCACGCTACTGGAACGAGAGACCCACAGGTGCATCCTTTCATCAGCTCTCGGATTGCCATGGTAGCATAGCTTGCCCGAGGCAGGCGAAACTCGAGCACCAAAGCCAAGTGCTCCGTCGGCTCCCGGAGCTTTGCCGAGGACAAGGGTCGTATGCTGGAGGCCATCGGTTCATCTTCAAGCATCTGGTCTAGGTCGGTTGAAACGAGACGGGCCTTAGCCTCGGATCTCTCATTTCCAGGATACGCGAGCATTCTCACTGTCAGTTGGGATGGTCGGCAAATGAGCGGGCGATAGCCACCAGGCATTGAAATACCATCCTTGCACTCTGGCTCGGCGAAGACACGGAGGTCAAGGCCCATCTCTCGTAGCACATGGCTGTGCAAATGTTTCGATTCGTTATCCGGCAGTTTGGCTGCAAACCCAAGCACCGGCACAAGCACCTTCGACAAAGGTGTACAGGATTCCTCGCCTTGTTTCAGGGGTCTCACCTCCGCTGGCCACACGGAAGCTGCACAGTCATCACTGTTGGCAGCCACCCAATCCCCTGCCAGAACTCTCATGTCTTGCTGTAGCCGAAGCGACACTACCTTGTTCCAGACCTGAGATGCCACGGAGCGACACCACAGGAGACGCAAGTGACGTGGTACGCACTTGATGGCGCCCTTGTAATCGCCAGGGTGTTCGGACAGGTACTGGAGGACCTGACATCCGAAAAACTTCCAGAAACACTTCAACTTGCCACAGAATCAGAAAGGATGCGGGGCACAACGGCATATCATGGATTTCAGCCTGGTGCTTCTTTACAGTGAGGTGTGTGCTACAACTTATGACAGCCATCGGTGCCACGTATCGTTTTTCGAAAGCTGACCAAGTGCTGAGGGAGCACAGAAGTCTCCAATAGACAGGAAGTCGGAGTCAGAGCAAGAGCTTCACGAAAGTTGCCTCTGCTGGCCTCACAAAACGCTTGGAATGTCGTCCCTCGACGCGCGCGCGAGCCCAGAAGCAGCTCCACCACCTTTTTGAAGTTCTTCTGCAGGAGCGCTACACCCATCTCGGATGAGGGCACGACGCCAGTACCAAAGCGCTGCAGGCCAAAATAGTTCGGGAAGCCAGTCTTGAGCGCATCAATGCACATGTCCAGGATGTCAGACGACGCATCGGTTGTGACACGACGCAGCACGACAGTAAACTCATTGCCACCATGTCCACCCAGCCTTGCTTTGTGTGCTTCGGGGGAGGCATTGCCGAGAGCCATGCTGTCGAAAACGCTCACCTGCGGCTCGTGGACTAGAGCGCTGCTGGGGAAGCTGATCCGTTGCGTCGTAATACCCCAGCGGTCCTTCATGCCGCAAAAGCTGAAGGTTTTGGAAGGCACTTGAAAGGCGCGGGCCAGCTTGGTGATTGCCTCTGGGGTTGTTAACCTCTGCTTGGCAAGGGTAAACCAAATATGTGCCGAGGGGTCACACTTCTGCGACAACATGAGCAAATCAGCCGGAGTACAGTGTGTAGCCAACTTCGCTGGTACGTTCCGCGCGTCAAGCTCACGCACCAAGAAATCATAAGACTGCTTCTGAAACTCTCCAGCAAATCCTGGGTGCTTGCCCAAGAAGCTGTTGATTCCGACGTCCCTGGCGTCAAAGCTACCAGCCTTATTGGTAATCGATTTGCTTTGGGTAGCATATCTCACTTGCCAGGCGTTTCCTGCTCGACGTGCCATCTGCTCCCACATTTCACAGCCCAGGTCGACACTCGCGCCGCTCGCCCCGCCCGAGGATCACCGTATTCAGCAGGCTTTGGGAACCCATGAAGGTTGCACCGCGGCAGTCGAGAACAGAAGCCGGTGTCTCATGTGTCTCAAGTAGCCGAAAGTGCTCGCTGCCCCCAGATTGACGAATATTGAATATTTCTTTCCAACAAACGGCTCCGTTTCATACTTCTCAAAAAAGCAAGCTACAACCCTCTTTTTGCAACATTCCTCGTTACTCAGCAACCCGGTCTTGACAACGGCATGCTCCCTCCCGTAGAACCAACCCTGGCTGCTAGCGACACTCCATGTGAAGGCAGCTGACACAGGATAAGAAGCACACCGACTTGATATCGCGATGGAATGCCTGACCCAAGCTGAGGCTACAGCCACGTTTTGAAGGCTCAGACTCCCTCTGCACTGTTGCACTCTGCCTGCTTCATGCCTTTGGGTTTCATGTCCGGGACCGGGTGGCCTTTGGTGTGGCGTTGTGCATGTGGGACAAGCCGCTAGCAGCGTCAAGGAGAACACTCAGCCTGTCAAGTGGTCTTACACACTGTCGCACCAACAAGGAAGCTGCAATCAACTGCTTTACTTGTCGATGCCTGTCGTGCCAAGGGAAGCCTTGGTGCCCACAGTGACACTTGTGAAGCCTTTCAGACATTTTGAGATGCAACAACCTGGAGCCGAAATCCTGCAGGCCTTTGGAACACGTCCCCGCCAGAGAGAAACTCATACCTGGCATGAAGCATCGCGTGCCCGGTACTGAAGGTTTTCATTGCCAAGGGTCCCGACACGAGGTAACGCTGCAAGCAATGTTGACCCCACCTGGCGATACAAAGCGGAAAACGCGGCTGGTGGTTGCAACTGCTGAGGCAGGGGCCCGAGGAGTGTCACCAGATGCGGGTGCCTTGCAATTGAAGCTAGATACACTCCTGCCGGCCCTGCACGCGTCGTTTGTCCTTCCCAACCTGAACTTGCTCAGAAGCGTAACTTCGTCTTCGAAGCCTGCATCCTGCATTAGTCTTGCTATGTCAAGACCTGTGCAAGAGCTGCTCACAGGCAAGGTAAGCAGGCCTCCGGGCATTCCCCCTTGCCCATCAAGACACTGAGGTCAATTGCCTGTTGACAGACACGACTTGCGAGAATTCGGCAGGCCGTGCGTTGCAGATTACCCAGGCTGGGCTCGCCGGGCCTTGATGGCCACATCTGAGCCGTCCTGGCAGCTTCAGCTCTCTCTCTCTCTCTCTCTCGCTTTTTCTTCCTTTCTCAGTCTTCACTTCACTCCGCGGCTCAGGGAGCTGGTCAAGCCCCCCGCGCCAAAAGGCGCGCCCCTGTTGTAAGGCTCTGCAGAGGGGAGTGAAAGCGGCAGTTTGGAACGGCGTGTTGTGAAAAGAGCCGAAGAATATGTGGCCAAGCTGGCTAAGGAGTGGAGTTTACCCGAGAAAGCAAGACGGTCTTGCTGTTTAAACAGTTCACACCGAAAAGGACACAAAGCACATGCACGGATTATCCGCTCCCAGAATCTGCATCTTCTCTCTTTCGTTTGGCCCCTTTTTTCGCATGGCCGTCTGGTTGGGCTCAGCGTTCCCCTCCTCATTGTTCCCCTACTTGGTCTTTGGGTAGATCTTCTTCGCCTCGCTGAGAACCTAACCGTCCCTGTAGAATACTCCACCTCCAGTTTGGTGTTGCCCTCTTTGTTTTTGCCGCCAATTGTGCCCGCTTTCTTTTGGCTGGGGATTGGCTGATGGCAAGCCGGCAAGCCATAGCCTGCTGTGGCTACCATCTCCCCGTTGTCCCAGGATGACGTTGGCTTTGCGTACTCGCTGTACTGCTCGGAGTCTCGGACCGCTCGTCGTCGGGCATCTGGGCTTTGGTAACTGTTTCGTCGGCGGGCTGGTCCGGGTCCCGGCCCGCACTTATGAGTCCGGGCTGGCGATTCCCGGCTTCGAGGTTCGTGGCCCTCCCCCTGCGCTCTCCAAATTCTGCAAACGGGCCTCCAGGTCGACGATACGGGTCGCCAAGACTTGAATCTCCCCTGCAACCGCCTCCAGTCGCTCTCCTTGTTCTCGTTGGGCTCCCGCCAAGTCTTGGAGCATTCTGACGGCGTCTCCAAGTTTATCCCAGATGGCCTTCTCGATGTGATAGACATGGCTCTCTAGATCTCCCGTGTCAGGACATGCTGCTGGAATTGGAGTTGTGGGGTACGCGCAATGGCTTCCATTGTGACTGTCTCCTCGAGCTCTGTGCTGTCTGACGCTCCCTCTAGTGAGCCCTCAGCTTGCACTAGCTTGCACGAACAGGTAAGGAGAAGAGCATGTGTAGGCTCGCCGTTCCCTCCGGCAAAGTAGGTTGGCAAAGTCCCCAAAGATCCGCGCAAGGCCACCGAACAGCTCCGTACCCCCCTATCTCCTCGGCACAAGCGAGGTTGATGAGGACGCGTAGGGCCACGACCCCTCCGTGGATCTTGATTGCTCGGGTACTCTCGCTCAGGAAAGCGGCGCGGTTGGAGCCCTTCTCTCTTCAGAGCCTCGGGGCTTGAGCACTCACGGCTTGAGCCAAGAGAGCTCTCTCGCCCTCTCTTTGCTTTGCTTTGCTTTGCTAGGGGTTTGAGGTAGCAGCAGACCTGCTACCCCTCGCTCCACTCTCTCTCTCTTTCTTCTTCCCCAGGGCATAGGGGGCAGGTCAAACTCCCCGGCCTATTGGCCCCATTTGTTATGGGGCTGTCGGGGGTGTGAAAAGGTAGTTTGAGGGTCGTTCACAAAACAAACAAACATTGAACATAATTTCCCCGACTCTCAAACTGCGGTACAAACTTTGGGACGCCACACTTCCCCCCGGTGCACCTGGTTTTGGGCAAGCGACGATAAAACAACACAAAACGAACAGTCCCCGGCATCACGGTGTACACGGGCAGGTCATATCAGAAACTGGGCTCGGCTCACTCACTCACTCACTCTCTCTCTCTCTCTCTCTCTCTCTCCAGGGCATAGGGATCGGTCAAGGTCCCCCGGGCATAATGCCCACCCCAATGTGTTATTGGGGCATTGGGGAGTGAAGAGCGATTGTAGTTTGTCAAGGGCTCATGCCATATAGTCTACGATAAGGAAAACATGATAAACGTACAATCTCATGAACACACGCACTCTTGCCGAGGGTAGCCCCCCTAGCCCGCGCGCTTCCCCCCACTCTCTCTCTCTCTCTCTCTCTCTCTCCCTGTTGCGCAGGCAGGGGAGGAGGGGCGGACACCCAACCCCTCGCACGGGAACGTGCACCTGAGGATTTTCCTCTAGCGGCTTGGCTGGACAGAACCTCGTTCCGCCCAAACAACTCTTTCTCTCTCCGCCTCCGCTTAGCATCGCTTAGCCACATTGACAGACGTGGGTCACAACGGCACGGTCCTTTAACTCGCCACGGTACACGGATCCATAACAGCCCGAGCCTTTGATGCAAGCTCGACTTCCCAACTTTCGGAGCACGGCTTGGAGATGCAGACACAAAACAAACACACACACACACACAACCCCAAGCAAGCCCGCAGCCCAAGCGCTTCGAGACGTGAAAGCTAGAGGTTGCCTGGCAGGAGACTGGAACAGCCCGCTGCCCTCCAGGACAAGTGGTCAAGTGGTCAAGAGGCAGCAACTGCTCAGCAGCCTCGTGGCCGACAGGTTTGCGCTCTCAACCACCGCTTGCATTCAAAGGCTGCCCCGGTGCTATTTGCAACCGGTGCAGCCCAGGCTAACTCAAACCCGAAGACCGATGACTCAGCTATTCCGAGCAGCGGCTAAAGGGCCCATCACGAACTTGGCTCAGCTGAAGGCCTGCAAACCTTTTTTCGTGGGCACAGAGACGAAATCTTCCAGCATCTGCGATCGAATCGAGCCCTGCCCTGCTGCCCTGCAGCTGTAACTCGGCTCCCGACCCCCTGTGCCAAGCAGACAACCATAACCTTTCCATCAGCTGGAAACAAGATGCGTCGACCGCGGCAATGGGCAATGCTAGCTCGGTGCCTGTGACAGTGCTCGTCTTGACGGCACCGCCTGCTGCAGTTCAGCGACCTGAGTGAGCAAAGCCAAGGGTGCACTTCGAGATCGTGTCAACTCATCCAATTCAAGAGGATTTCTCAATATTTCTCACCAGTACTGATACCTAAACCCTGGCATGGCAAGATCCTGGCCAAACGGCGCGCTGGAATGCTGTCCTCCAAGCCGACCGTAACCCAGTAGGGGTTGTGTCGTGACTAAGCATGGCTCGAGTCCTGCGACTCCGCCCACATAGATGCAGCAGCTTGAGCACCTGACAGTCTGACAGGTGCTCATCTTGAAAGGGTTTCATGACGCGCTAGCTGCATTGCAGGAAGTCCGCCTGACACATTGCCTTTCAGTGCCGCCTTAGACAAGTGTTTGCTTTCTTCTTCCCTCTTCTGACCAATTTGCCTGCAGGAGTCCACGCCCTACTCGCAGCGTGTTGTATCTGCCAAGTAAGGAGCTTGCGCACACCGCCTGAGCGGCAAGAACCTGGACTGATGCAACTGCAACCACGAACTTGTGCGTCGTGCAGGTGCTCCACATCGCGAACATGATGCGAATCTGAGGTGGCTCACTCTGTGTGGCTCCACCTGGCTAGCTTCATCCAGCCGGTCCGAGGCATCCTCCAAAGCCTGGAAAGGGCACAGAAACGTTACGAAGTTGAGATCAGCATGTGGCCCCCGTCCCACATTCCAACTGGCTTTCGGAAGATGCTGCTTTTGTCTTGTCTGGCCGCCCGAGCTTGAGATTAAGCCTGGAGTCGTCAATCAAGCATCGTGTTTGCTGTCACGCCAGGAATTTAAAACAGGCAGAGTCACTTCTTGCCCTTGCAAGAAGGTCTTAACCAGAACATCACGGAGGCGCAAAGTCAATTGACTCGCCTCAGTGCGTACACCCGCGACTGGCTGCGGGAGTCTGCTACCAGTACAGTGCAACTTTCGCCGCCAGTGGTCGCAGGATTTCTGCAACCAAAAAGACGGCTGCTGCGGTGACGTAGTTGCTACCATTTCCAGATGCGAACCATTCGGCTTATGCAGTTCAGGGTGCTCTCACTCGGCCTCATGCCGGCTGCTGCTCCCAGTCCTGCTCAGGCGAGACTCAGATGGACATACTCCAATCGTTTCACAGGGTTCTCCTGATCTGTCTGGCCACGAGCTGCCACCGAGCTGATGTCGGCATGGAGTCAACACTCGGGACAGTCTGAAGGCTGGGCACGGTCGGCACTATTTGATTTCGCCGACCTGCATGCGCGCAGATCTGAGCGAAAGAAATAAGGTACTCCGACCTGCGATGTGATGCAGATGTTATTGACCCAGTGCTATCTCGTCACGAGCATGTCATGAGATTAGCATATTTGAGCCGATGCCTTTCTGTTCAGACACGTGTGCCATTAGCTCCGGACTTCTGTAGATACGGATCAGCTCCTCGGTGTTGCTCGGGGCCAAAACCCATTGGAGGCTACCCAATGTCAGAAGCCAATGGGTCGCCAAGACTCGTGGTACAGCTCCCACTCGGCTTTCAAGTTCCCTTGAACTCGCGCTAAGTAGATGCCATCGCAGAGGTCCAACAACAAGTCCGTGTTGGACACCTCCTGGAAAGGTGGACAGCTTGTGCAATCCAAGCAGCTAGCAGGAGATAGCTCACATCCTGCAACAGCCAAAGCACTTACTTGAGCGGACTTATGCGGCGGCTCCTCGTAAACCATTCTCTTCGAACTGTCTTTGAAGATCGTCCGAAACAGGTTTCCCACGGTTAGGACGACTCCGAGGTACAGCCCATTGATCGACCACCTTTCAACAACATCTCCGCGCCAGTCTTTCTGTACTCTAGCGTGTTCTACGATCTTCTACTGCTCTACCCCAGTGGCGCCGCTGCTTGCATGGCTTCCAAACAATATCAACATCACAGGCTAAGCTGTCAGCAAGTCTTGCTAAGGCACAGTTTGGAGTCCTTTTCGGAGGAACCAGGGCCACTGGCGATGTGATTGCTGGCAACGCTGCACACGAGCTCACTAGGACCACTAGGGTTCGAAGCGCTTGTCCTGCTTGAAGCCACAGACCTGGCTGCACTAACTGCGCAACAATCTCTCGGTCTTCAACAAAAGCACTCTTTCTTCATTCTATTGCTCTTTCCTTCTGTTTCCTTCTAAACTTTAAAACAGAGCACAAAAGGAATGTTGTCTTAAAACTGCAGTCGCAAGACGCCTAGTTAATTTTGTTGTGTAAATCCCTGATCTGGGGCCAAGAAACCAAGTTAAACAAACGAGAAGCATGCATTCTGCAGGCCTTTCCGTGTTCTGCAAGGTTTGTCTTTTGACAATCATCGGTTGACGTTGATTTGTGGTTCGTCAAGGGTAACTAACATGTTCTCGAATCCCAAGACCCCCTGTGAAAGATTCTGACGGCACCTCCTTGACGGCTGATTATTTCGTTCCTGTCTTGCAGTCTTTTCTTGCTTTCATGTTTAAATAACAGCAGCAGTAAGGTGAGAGACAACTGACTTCATAGTTTAGTTGCTTGACTCCCTTTCTTGCATCGTTCGGATTTCGTTCATTCGTTACTTTTCTGCGTCCCTGCATGTTACGTCATTTCGAAAGACGCATGAAAAGTGAACATCAGTGCTCTCTTTGTGTTCAAAAGAGAGGCACAATTCATTGTACATCGTAACCAGCTGGATTAGGCTGCATTTAGAAACGAAACAGATGGCATTAGAATTTATTCTAATCCGCCTTCTCTTCCTTTCCATTGGCCTTTTCATGAAGGAGTACACCTGGCACGCCCGCCACACTGGACGCACCCCCGTGCTTGTGTTGGATCCGGCCCCGGTAGCCAACAGGAGCGCGCTTCATCAGCATCAGAGGGTCGCTAAGGGCGCGGTGGAGGGGGTGGGGGAGGCGGCAGGAGGGGGTCGCTTGCATGCTATGCGAAGGTGAGTCCAAGATCATAATCATAATATATTACAGCAAATTCAACTATATTAATTATAGTCTACAGTTGGTATGTCATACGCGTTTCCATCATATTCCATCCAGATCCGACGGAAGATGCAAGCCAGCGACCAGTACGGTGGATGAGGGCTCGGAGGGAGAGTTGCAGGACTGTAGATCAAGATCACAGAGTCCTTGGTATGCTGCCTCTCCTGCCGCGGAATGGCGCATACTCTAAGTGGCCGGATACGATGAAGGACAACCGACCGACAAAACCTTAAGAGAACAGGCCATGCGAGCATCTCGTAACAACATCCTTATCCGTCCTCCTTGTCTGGCAAAAAATCAATGTCGGAGACCGAGCCGTCAGCCAGTCTCAAGAACTTCCTGCAGCTTGCAGCAGGGAATGCCGAATCCATGCCACGTGAACACCAAGACAAAAAGGCCCAAGCTAATGTCGGTTACAGAACGGAAGTGCCCCCGACGCACGCTAAGCTGCCGCGTGATGCGCCAAGAGTCGGAAAGAGGTTCGGGATCCGCAGCTCTGTCCTGTCTTGCTTTCCCGCAGAGTCACCGGCATCGCCCAATAGCCTGGCCAATACCATGCGCGTTCTGTTGTCTGCTTTCAACTCACGCATGCCCGACACCGGAGTGGCAGTGGAGTTCAGCTCGAAGCGGAAATGAAGCTGGAACTTGACAACCGCATCCGGACTCTTTTCCGGATCTATCAATGTGGCCATGAGGGCTTGCATTGACGACGACCGTTCCCAGAACATGTCCGAGTCGACAGGGAATGTAATGTCTTGGAGTGTGATCGGAATGTCCTGCTCGGACAACTTTTTTTGAAACCTGCTTGTGTCTGCGTATTGAGAGATGTGGTTCTGCACAGCCTCGTAAAGCATCAGCCCTCGATATCCGTGAACGGCTTCCACTCTGACATTCAACTGCATGACTGCCGATGTCACAGGGCTGGGTACCAACATGAAGGTATTCAAACCCGAGAAGAATATGATTGGTCCGACCAGTAGTGCCAAAAGAACCAAGAGCAGAGCAACTCCCATGTAAATCTTCTCGAACATCGGCCGCGCTTCGGCTGGATCTGTCATGGCTCTGCCCTCCATGTCCAATCTCACACGGTATATACCATGGTGGGCGTCCTCCAGCTTCAACCACATGAACAAGTTCATTGACGTTTCGGTAACGGTCCAGTCTGTGATGACCCGCAGTTCGTTCAAGAATGGCAGGGCACTGTAAACCTTAAACACGAGCATCGAACCAATGTCTGTGCTATGGCAGAACCGAAGGCCACCTTGCATCACGTGCACGTCATACTTCAATTGCAAAGAGCTCAGCGCGAGGTAAGTCAGGTAGAGCACATAGAAACCAGACAGGGCCGAGAAGCTCATGATCGAAATTTCCTCATGCATCATATCGCGCTTGACACCTTTCAAGCTCCACTGGCGGATGAACAGCGCGTGGATGGAAATGACATGCACAAGGATATTCAGCTTCTGAACGACCCTGGCCATGATGCCCTGCACACGCAATCGCAAACAGAGCATGCAAGAGACTGTAGGGAGGTCCTCGTATGGTTTTGTGGGGCTTTTCTTGTGTCATGGGCCCACCTTCCACATCCAAGAGGCCGAGGTCTGAACCCGTGCCTGGCCATCATCTTCATCATCATCCTCACAAATGTAGTCTGAGCGATACCAGGTGTACAGGGCGCGATCCATCACGATCATGGTCAGGAAAAGAACCTGGTCGCGAACCGCTGTTCTTTGCAGCTCTCCTTGTGGGCTGCCTGGAAATTGACTCCAGGACGCGTTAGATGCAGCCCGAACCGACTTGAATCGTAGCCAAGGATCGAGGACCTTCACTTGGTTACCGCCAAACTGATTCGCTCGAAGGGATGCAGAAAAGCTGCGGCCGTTCTCCACCATGGTACTCCAACCGAATATAAGCATGGAAAGGCAAGTAAGGGCAATGCACAAGCGAGGTTCGTAAAGATCCATGGCAGGTCTCCGCACCTTTGTCGCACCCATGATGTTCTCCTTCCTAGGCTTTCTCAAAGGACCACCGGGCGGGCATGTCGGGAGCAAACGGAGCACTAGAATCCCCAGAATTGCAACTTGGCTGCAGCCATCGTGTGAGCGACTCTAGCATCTCCAAGGACCTGTCTGCAAAGTTGCTGGGCTGTCGCCCGACCTAGCACTGTGGTGGAAACGTTTGCGGCCATCGATCATCACGGTGCATCAGCATCATGCCTCTGACTCGCCGGCAGCTGACGTCATTGAGGCACCCCCTGTCTCCACAGCACATATCATTCAGACCTTTTGAGGCTTCGTGAAGAATGTGCATTCATGCCCCGGCCGTTGGACTCTTCGTCCTCACCGTCCTCATCTGCCTGTAGATCAAGCGGCTGCATGACCGTAAACGTGCTCATCCTGAGCTCAGTGAGGCAAGTGGCAGCCACAGTGAATGAGTATCCGATGAACAAAGGCAACTTTGCGACCAAGCATCCTTCGATTTCGCCGTTCGTAAGCTTTCAAGCTGTTGAGAATTTCAGAGGTGCTGGAAAATCGTCCACCATATCTTGCTGCACACATCACCTTAGTCTTGGTCACAGCAGTTGAGCCAAGAATCTAAACTCGATCGGTTCCTTGAGTACTTATGCCGTCGGTCTCCCGATAGCTGCGGCGCTCGCAGACAACTTGTGCAGACAAAGTCTTAAGAAAGCCACCAGCAGAAGGACAATGCTGGCGAGGCAGTCAGCCCACAATACCGAAGTCAAGTTCGGCCGCGCAAGGCTGCAGGGATCGGACGTCTTTTTCGATTTGACCTCGAGCGAACATGAAGTGCCCAGTCGTCATCTCGGAAAAGATTAGCTGCAACTGCGAGGCTAAGCCCAGGAGAGCTGTGAACGGCATGTCGCTCCCGCACATTGATTTACAGCCATCGTAATTTAGAGATCCATCCTCGCAGAATACCGTTAGCTGAAAAATCACCTTCGCAAAGATGACCTGGGCTGGTCAAAGCAATCCGGTGACCAATCAGTCATCCACATGCACGTTGCTGGACAATTGTGCCGAGAAGCCGAAACGTTATACCACTGCAGGAAAACCCACACCTGCCAGGGGGGCCGTTGGGATGAACCAACTCTGCCTCGAAGCGCTCACAGGTGAGGGGCTACAGCGTGAAAGTGTGTGAATCAGCTTGCAAAACCCCAGTCCTTCCAAGGGACGTGCGGAAAGGACATGAGGGACATCACAACAACAGACACGCTGACTGCAGCCGTAATCGAGCGGAACGACATAAACTGTAAAGCACCTCAGCTCTTCAAGTTCCGGCACGGTGCATTCCAGCGATGCTAGACAGGCTATCAAGAAAGCAAATACTGAGCCAAGCGCTTGATATCACCAAAGCTAGCAGTGACTGAGACAGGACAGCTTTGCACAGAAGAATGCCAATGCTGTTGTTCTTCCGATGCTCGTACAGAGTCTCGTCATTTTCCTGAGCATGACGAATCAGGAACAAGACTTGGACTGGCCTTGACGACAACTGGAAGCAAGCCGCTGAAATTGAGGTAACTTGAAAATCTGAGCTGGAGTTGGTTGCGGATAGGCTCATCGATTTGTTCCCAGACGAGATTCGCCGATGAAGAGCATGTCATCCAAGCATGTTTGCAGAAAGCCAGCAAGGCAAGGGAGATCTCAGGCACTGACGCTGGATTCGTCCTCTTCTCTGGACTCTTCCCTTGGGGCCTCGCGTTTTGCCACAAAGGCTGGAGGAAGTACTTGCGGCATTTTGAAAGTGCTAGCCAGAAACATGCTGCCAAGGCACCTCCGAGGCAAAGGAAACCACAGTCGCAAAACGTGCTCTCTTGTTGCCCTTGTCAGTCTCATCGGGCCTTCACATCATACTGTTTCAGCATTGTGCTGGCTGCAGTGTTCCTGTCATGCCAAGCATCTCGTGAGCCACGGCTAACCCGTCTTGTATCGAGGGCCTGCAAGCTGCCAACACGATCAAGGTGCTCGTGGCCTGTCGTGGCCCTCTGCTGTTTGATGGAATGCAAAGGAGCCTGTCCGTTGCTAGAGACGCGCTTCGACTCTGCACAGCAGATGGCGGCATGGAGCGCATTTCGACCTGTCAGGTAATTCGTGGTTCATGCACGCTCTCGGCCTTCGGGAGCACGGACATGCTGTACGCCTAGGTCTGTCAGCATTTCCGGGTTGCTCGATTAGAGCAGGCGCACGCATCTTGCAAAGGCTAGCAGTCATCGGGCGCCTCTGCCGGGCGATCATCTTCCTGAAGCATTCTTGATGGAATGATGTGGAATGCCTGCTTCTCCACAGCACTCTCAAGTTCGATCCATGTCCTTGAGCATTGACAAGACCATGTTCCGACACTCTTGGAGCAGCCGCTGCTTGGCCGCTGCTTCATCTGCAACGGTTATCATTTTCAGCTTGCGCAAGTACCTCGCCCGTAATGCGAGGACAGGTTTCCATGCATTGCTTGTGACAACGGGCCTGCGGTATAGGTAATCCACCACGCACTTGTCTACCCAGGCTTGCGCATGCAGCCTGTCAGCGAATGAGCTTTTGCTGTCGAGTCGCACAACGGTTGGGCCTCCGCCCGCCCCATCCCCTTCTACTTTCTCTTCCTGGCACGCCCCCATTGCTGCAGTTGATGCATGCAGCTGTTGCGCAAGTCTACATGTTCGCGCCTCTGCTGTGGGGTCAAATTGTCGAGAAGTCGCTCTTCTCCTTGCGAGGCGCTTGTGAACTCCTCGAGCAAGCTGCGCACCTCGAGCATCATGGATGCAGCTTGCACTGATCCGAGCCTCCTGATCTGTGGCTTTACCACCAACTTTCAAGAATTCAACCCTGGCCCTCACCCTCCCTGCCCTCCCCACCAGCTGCTCTTGGACGCCACCCTGCAGACAGATGTGCTCCACGCGTGCGGCGGAATGGTTTGCTTCCTCCTGCAAGGGTGATTTCGTGACGGCATACAACAGCAACGATATAGAAACGAGCAGCTGCCGTCACGGGTGATAACCTGCCGCAAATTCGCATAAAAGTAAGTCTGCCGGGCGTACCTCCTCTTCAGTGAAGGCTGCCCGCTGGCCGTCCCAAATGGACCGCAAGTTGTTCAGGTGGTGGGTCAGTCTGGATAACTTGCTGAGAAGAACCTTGGTAAGCAGTTGTTGTCCTTCTGTCTGTGTTTTCTGGACTTGGGCATTCTGACGCCTTCTGGCATCCCCTGCTATGCTTGCCTTTTACCGCGAGATGGTCCACATGTATCAGCATACCGATCTTCATGTTCTGAATCCCGCCTGCCGCTTCGTGTCCCAAATGGAGATTTGCATCTGTCTGCTGGCTGCAAGCTTCTCAGCATACCATTCGGCACGAAAGTCCAAATGTTCCTTCCTCCTCTCGAAATGGCGTCGAAGCTCGTTGTGCCATCGTATTAGAAGGATCCTCTGGATGAGGCAGGCTGTGAATACCATCCAATGGATGAGATCTTCAGCAGACACATCGTCGCCACTTTTCACCATCCCCAAACCTGAGGTGGAAAACTTTTATGCAGCTGAAGACATGAAGACACGTACACGGAAGTCCGCCTCGGTTTCTATGCCTTCCGAGGCGCTCTGAAAAAGTGCTCCGAGCCTCCAGGAGTCGCTGGCGGATGCCATGTCTGACAAAGTGCCGGAATGGAAATGGAATAGGTAGTGGCACTGCTCCCGGGATACGAATCTGGAAACTTGGACCGGAGCCCCTTCGTCTGTTCCAGGCAGGCGCATGGGATGCGGGCAGGGGAAGATCGGGGTCTGGCTAACGGTCAAAGCCAAAATGACAAGCATGTTGAAAATTCCGATGGCCTGCGCCGGCCAGACTAGCGCTTTGACTGGGTCATAATACAACGTCGCATTGCTTGCTGAGCTTGCGCTGACAAGCGTGAACCACAAATACCCCATCTGAACCACATTGAAATATGGCTGGAGTGCGAAAGCTGCCAGTAGACAGACTGAAGTAAACAAAGTGGTCACCAAAAGAATGACCAGCTTCAGGTGTTCGCCTCTGAAATAGGAAATACTCCCCAGTCGTTCTCGAAATCGATCAGATGCCGCATGGAGAGTTCTCCTCCACTGCGGCCTCTCTTGTTGCGCAGCTCTTCTTGGTGGCGCGTTGACCCAGTGCCGCTCCGCTCGCAGGACCCAGCATAAACCGAACAAGATGAGGAAAGAGGGGACAGACAGGCCCTGCCTAATGCAGAGCCAACTTACGAAGTCTCGTCCGCAACGTTCTCGCTGTGACATACACCCCTGCAGGGCTGCATGGACAGCTGCGCATCGACACGTGCACCGGACGATGGCTAAGCCGCTAAGCCGCTAAGTCGCTGAAAAAAGTACGTTGTTCGACAAGGGGCTGGAGAGCCAGGTATGCAGGGTCGTCCTTGCAGGTCCCTGGCCAAGTCTGGGTGCCAGGGATCATAGTTCCGACAAGCCTTCCAGTGTGCAATCGACTCCGGCTCAGGCTTCGGACTTCCCAAGCCAGGTGGAAGCCAAAGCTCAATGCAGACTTCAAAGAAGAGACTGAGGAAAAGCCCTCCTGACATGACCTGTGCTTCGTGTGGGCGACTAAAGTTGTGAGCCTATACAGATTCTAGAGAGACATCGTTGAACACTTGTCAATGCCTTCATCCACAGTTTGGACCGATCAGGCAGGCGGGCTTGCGTTGGCGGACGGACCATATCACCGCTAAAGTAAAAGGCGGCCACGGCCGACAACGGCAGCAAACCTGCCAGATGTTGCGACATGCTGAGTAAGGCCGTGCTGTGCTCGCTTATCGTTCTTCTCCCCATCCGTATCCCTCTGTGAAGTCTCAAATTCGAACTGCCCTTGCAGTGAAGCAGCACCAAAGTGTCTGCTCCACTGTGGCCACGAAAACGATGGCCACAGCCGCAACTTGCGGCGCTGCTAGCAGCAACATCTTCATCTCTTCGACCGGGTCGCTCTGCCTCCATGCGACTGCCTATGCAAACCGTTGCTTGAATTATCTTGACTCTACATGTACACCCTCCAAATTCCATCGAGAGCTGCTTGACAAGTCCTGCAATCATGCCTCAAAGCATCCTGCCAGGCTTCCGGCAGATCTTCCCCTGGGCTTTTGGACAGCGCTATTCCCGAAAGAAGCGAGGCTCTACATGGCAGGTCGCCGGTGGCTCCTGGATAGCCGGGATATACCCTTTCTTTTTCGGAGTCAGGGGGACCGCCGTGATTGGTTGAAGGCAGGAAACGGGGAGCAAGAACCACAATTCTGCAGCGGGTGTCGAGTTTGGAAAGATTGCCTTTCTTGAGATCGTCCTTCGTCAACTACACGCTTTGTTGCAGCTATCCTCTTCTTTCTCTGCCGGGCCACTCTGCTCCAAAGGCTCCGAAACTGCGCGCGAAACTGCACGGTTGCCTTACAGGGGTGTTCCGACTGCACAGCTGCTGTTGGGATGCGATAGGTCCGATAGGAGTTTGGCCATCCGAGGGGGCGCTTTCGTGCAGCAGGAGCCTTCCAAGGATCCCAAGTCAATCGTTAGCGCCGTTGCCAGGACTCTGGTTGCTCGTGCCCTTTCACAGGCATCCTTTGCAGCTGCGGCGTGAAATTGCAGGATGGTATAGATCTTGGCTAAGATGAGGATGAAGAGTTGTCGGCAGACCTGGGCCGGAAATGCTTCAAAGTCTGGGTGGCCGGCTTGCACGCGCAAATTTTGCTCATGCCGGAGCTGAGCCCACGTCTCTGCCGTCTCTAATTACTTGTACTGCATATCCGGTCACTGCGATTAGACATGGAGCAACAACTGCTTGCAGTCAGAAGTCCACTCCCAAATCCTTGGCCAAGCCCCAGTAGACCTTGGCCTCCTCCTTCACAAGTAAATCGTTGCGGGAACGTCTAACTCGTGCATGTACAATGCACATCTGACTTTCCAGGCACGTGCAAGGACTTGTGTGCACATGTGCACATCAGAGAAAGTACTAAATTTTAAAGTGCTAGTTAGAGACATATGCGGCGCCGGCACATGCAGTATGGGCATGCCTCCATCCGCAACACAACCCGAACCCACATGAGTGTCTGTGTGTGTGTGTGTGCTTCTAGACAGCCAGTCACATGCACGCCGAAAGCACTGACATACCTCCCTCCATGCAGTGTCGTGCAGGCGGCTCAGGCGGTGGCTCCACCCAAGTACAAAATCCCATCAGATTCTGCATTAGCAAATAGTTGCAGGATAAAGCATTGGCCGAACCGGATTTAGAATCAACCTACGAAGGTCACAGCTCGCAGCGCGGCAAGTCTGAAGAAGCCCACGCCTTCCCCGCCCCTTTGCTGCGTTGGCACAAGTTGTGGTCCGACGTGCATTTCGGCTACATGTTGGGACATGTGCAGACCTTTCAGAGCGAAACTTCTGTGTTGCAATCCTTTCCAGAGCCGTTCAACACTTCCCCAACTCAGATCCCCTCTTGGCACCGTCAACCCTGCAATACACGTGGAATTTCCCGTACTTCGTGGCTCTGCATCAAATCTCTTCAACGTCATGGGCTGCTTTCGTGACTGCCCGATTACTAGTACAAGTTGCCATGTGCCGAATGCCATCTCGAGACAGTCTGCTTGACTTTTTGACGACACAGTGGCTGCATTATCAACTGAATAGCCCCGAGTCCTCACATGCATGTTGGTTGCATGTCGCAACGCATCACCACGGCACATTTGCAAACCGAAACCTTAGTACCCTCACCCTCACACTTACACACTCACTCACGTGCGTATGCGCTCGCCCACATGTGCTCAGGCACGCAGCCGACACAGCAGCTCTTTTGAAGATTAGAGCATGATGAGAGCTGACAAACCGATTGTGTAGGCGGGACGAGTGGGCACATGTACATGCATAGCTCAGCAGACTCATGTACTTGTGCATCGCAGAGTCCTCGTCTGGAGGCCATCGGATCAAGTCCAAATGAGCAAAGAGCTGGGCCACTAAAGCCATGCCTGCACCAGAGGTCCCTCGGGTCTGGTTTTGCTCCGACACGTTTCGACAGCCGGTTTGGGAGTTTGGGAACGGACATGCCCTGTCTGAGTCTTGCATGTTCTACTCCTTCCACCAGTTTCGAACGTCAGCTCTCTGCATAGCCCCCTAATCTGTACTTCGAACATGCAACAGGTTGGCTTACGCCTGCGCTTGCGGAAAAGACGTCCCCGGTCCAATGCCATGGGTTTCCAACCACGAGCAGCACCAAGCAAGAGATGAGTTGGACAGTCCCAACCAAGTCTTTGGGAAAGGTCGTAACCTTGGGAGATTCCAGCATAAGCCCATCAGCCAGTGTACTCAACACAGCATTCTCGATCAGGTCTCAGGTGCGGGCCAGCAGGAAGACACCCAAAATCAAGACCTCTGAGGAGCGCCGCTGCGCAAATTCCAGGAGCTCCGCTCGCTGCGGTATCTCCATTGGAGGCGTGGAGGCGTAGTGCTTCGGGCTTTCTGCCCTTGCTTTTACGATTCCAGCTGTGTAGCTTCAGGATACAACACAGGTAGCTCATGCTGTTGGCGATGAACTGGCTTTGTGGCTTTGTGGCTTCGTCTCGGTACTTTGGCCCACCGCTTTGTCAGCTCTTTGGACAGCGGGAGCTCTCGAGCCTCACGACAAGGAGTCCTTGCACTTACGAGAAGCTCATGGCTAACATTGGCATCGCCTGAGCTCCTGCCGACCATGTGTCTCCACTCGCAAACACTACAACGTTACTACAACCTACACATAAACCCCCCCCCCCCCAAATGCCGATCTCTGTTGAACAAGGGTCCGAAAAGGAGGCCTCTGCACGTGCTCCGCTTGCAACATACCATGGTATCCTCGAGCAAACAAGAAGCTCATGGGCATTCATGGGTCTCAAGGCCTCGTGGGCTCGTAGGTCGTGATCGCGAAAAAGCAGAGCCACGCTAAGCCGAATGCTCCGCTAAAAGGAGAAGCCTCGCCTGGGCGGCTTTCCAGGCCATCACGCGCAATGTCATGAGAGCGCTTGGGCTTCATCCGAAAACTCCTCAGGCCATGGCAGTCAGCGCCAGGAGCCGACATGCACAGGGTGCATAAGTCGCGACTTTCAGCAACCTCGGCAGCGGTCGAACTCTCAGAAGCATGACTGAAGAATGCCAGGCTGGCCGACATGCTTCAAGATTACTCGCGTTTGGCCTTTCGGGACTGCTGTCACTTCGAAGCTTCGGCATGGTACCTGATGCGAAGCTGCCTGGCTAATTGCGACTACAGGATGCAGCTTTGAGTCACAAACCAACACCAAGTCAGACAATCCCGAATCCAGATGACCTTTCTGGCCGCTCTTGCTAGTGAGCTGCTCTCGATTCAGCATCTCCGATTCACATGTCAAGGTTCGGTAGCCGAGCTGGAGCTCAAACAGTCGCTGGCACGGTTTGCGAACACAAAATGCATGTTACGGCGGTTATGGTTGTGGCACTGCACTAGGAACCTCGGCAACCGGCTGACGGATTCGTCAGGCATAGCTGTCATAGACAGAAAGGACAGGTTCGTCGTTATCATGTATACACACTCTCAACACAGACTCCGGGACGCATGATCTTGGATCCAGCATCGTGGGGCCTGTTGAACAGTCCCGCAGCCCAGTCACACCAGCAGAGCCGATAAGACGGCGGAGGCCTCACATTCTGACCTCCACCTGTTCTCCACCGGCTGTCCACTTGATCTGTCCTGGAGCCTTGCGCAACCTGCGAGTCTGACCAATGCTGCGCTCCATTGCATGGAGGTATTCATTGGTTTCGGACTGCGCCTGGTAGATGCTCTCCAACCGATCCTCGAGTTTCTCGGTCTGCTGCTTGAGGGCGAACAAGTCGACAGACCGTGCTGTGCCATGCAGTTGGAGACACCTTTGCGCAAACTCCTCGTAACTGATCAAATGGTCCCCATCCGCATCCAGGCTGTCAAACAGAGTCCAAGCGTCGACTGCACTAACCTCAGTAGTGCATCAACCTCAAGTAGCAGTCGTAGTGTCGTCGTCGTCGTAGGAAAAGTAGAGCCAGTATGCTTTTTTTGAATCATCGTTGTTTGTATTGGTCTTTTTGTTGTTGAGTAGACGGCTATGAAAGCTAAGGGAAGGAAGCAGCGCAGGGCCAGCCGGCTTTTTGCCTCCTAGGATATCACAACCACTTGTCGCACTCGGCCGCGTAAACAAACGGAAGTGCCGTGGTGCTTGAATCCTCCACGGCGACACCTTAACCATGCGTAGCAACAGTTACCACTTACCGTGGTGCTTGATAGAATCTAGGTCGAAGAAAACGAGACCTACACAAATATACGTAATGCGCAGAAAGGGAGGGGTGGAGGTGAGGGGAAGGCCCCCCGCCCCCGACCTTGCACAATGCCACTGCCACCTTGATTTTTCTAACATATAGCCTCTGAGCCAAACAAAAGCGCGCTGGCCAGTTAGGGCCCTACCCGGATTTGGACCTGAAACACGATTCAGGTGAATTGGAAAACGGCAACTCCCGAAAGCTCCGCAGAGCTAGCTTTCCTCGTATTGGTCAGTGGTCGTCGTTGCTAAAGGAATCGTGCTACTAGTATAGTTCCAGTAGTCTCGTCGTTGTCCCCGAAGAGATAGTAGCACTAGTCCAGTGCCAGATTTCGTGATGTAGTCGTCGTCGTCGTCGCAGTTGCACAGGCACATGACCTGTCAAACAACTCGACAACAGCACAAACACGGCTTAAGCAAACAAGTTACCTCAATGGCAGCAAAGAAAGCCACCAAGTCTTCGTCTTGAAAAATCTGCTCGAACTCGGTAATGGTGATCTGCCCGAGGCCCGTGGAATCGATCTTCTTCCACAATTTGGCCACCAGCTGCTTGAATGCATGCACGTGCTGCATGAGCGTTTCGTGGTCTCTCTCCCGAGTCTTGATGGCGGAGTTCACGAAGACCCCAGTAATCACGTTGAGAAGCGCAAAATCACCGAAAGCCACGTAGATGTGAAAAAGCTGAACCCACCATAAACCCATTGGGGACAGAGCTTCCGCTGCCTCGATCCAGTCAAACCCTGCCAACAGCGTCCTGAAAAGTGTTATGCTGGATGCATAAACTCCACCAAAGTACAGTTGAAGCTTTTGGAGATGTGGCTCGGATGCATTGGCTTCATTGCTATCCATGTACTGCAGGGATGCGTCTGTGAACAGTACTCCGAAGGAGTAAATTACCAACACGAGCAGGAGCACTGCCCACACAAGCTGGCGAACGGTGTCAAGCACCGAGATCACTAGCTCCCGAAACGCGCTGATGAAGCGAACCAGTCGGACGGAGCGAATCACTTGAAGCACACGGGTGACTCTGAAAACGCGGATGATGCGGAAATTGCTGTTGGATGTGCCAGCGCCCATGTTCTGCAGTTCCACAAAATCGACAACAAGCTCGATCCAGGCCGGAATGACGATGAACGTATCAAGCCAATTCCATGCAAAGTCAGGACCACAGAAAAAACCATGAGGCCCAGTTGCAGTCAATCGAATAAGCATTTCCACCGTAAACAGAACAGCATAGCAGAAGTGGCCAAACAGGAACCATCTTGCCGTGGAGCCATCAAGGTCATGAGCACTGACTTCGAGCTGCAGCCCAAGAAAGATAGAGTTCGAAATAATCACCAAGGCTACCGCCACATTGAAGGCCACAGATTTGGATATCCTTTCGGCCCAGTGCTGACCTGAGGGCAGCAAGCGCATTTTTGAGATATCTTTAAAAACTTCTTCCGCTCACTTAGTCGAGGGAAATTCTGGAGGCAGCCAAGCTGCAGACGTGTGCCATTTCCATTCGCTGAGAGGTCGTCAGAGCAGCATCAGCAGATTTTTTTCTCTTGAGGGTGTCCACACGATGGCCTTCTTCCTTCGCCTCTTCGTAGTCGTGAACGGCCTTTCGGCGTCCCTTCACTGGTGTTGCCTGCCCTGACCTTAGTGGCGTCTCCTGGCCTGAAACACCCCTCTGATCATCTGCCCAGCTCTCGTCTTGAGGTGGGAGAAGCAACTGGCCATGAGGTAGAGAATCCAGGTCACTCTCTTCGGAGTTAATGTGTAAGGCTGGTCCCTCCAGGACCCTGTCGTCCAACAGAAGCTCGACTCTGGATGTGAGCACATCGAGTCGATTGAGAAGCTGTTGGTGCTGACTCTTCAACAATGCAGGAAGCTCATCTGCCATGGCAGGCTTGCGGCGCTGTGGTGACAGGTGCAAACAGCAAAGCGTTGTGCTGACAAGACTTATCAGCAATGTCATGTGCATGAGCGAGGTCAGTGCATGAACTGTCTGCAACGCTACAACCTGAACAAACGGCCCCGTTGCTGATCTGCAGAGATCGAGCCCAGGTTTCACAAGCTATGCCAATGCCTCCAAACTCTGCAGCTGCCCGTAAGCCCCGCGAATTGTTCGTCCTAGCAACACCATCGATGCTACATCACATGGTCTGGAGAGTAACCGGAGCACCCAGCAAAATATGCAAAAAGACAGCAAAAGAGCTTTTAGGAAAGAAGCTCTGTCATACGAATAAGTACATACATACATACCTACATGCATACATACTGCTCAAGAAGATGCTGGCCAAGCATGGCATGACCATGACTCCAGAACACTTCAGCAAATTCACTGCAACAACCAGCTGCGAGACAATAGTTTGCCGAGACATCGAAAAGGACTGCTCCAACTGGCTTGCTTGGAACCTAACAGCTCCTCATACTACCGCCTACGGTTGCCACAGAACCTAGACGTCGTTTTGGGGAGCCACTTGGGCTGCCGCGAATCGGCCCGCCGAACGAAGGCCTTTCGGGTCAAAGGAAAGCTGCTGAACTGTGCACGACGTTCTGCTTACACATCTCTACACTATTTGCAGCGGGCGCGCTGACAGCACAAGGGCACAGCCTGCAGAGTAGCAGACTGCACGTTGCCCTTGTCCGCACAGCGGAGATCAACCTTGATAGTCCAGCTTTCTTTACGGTTGCATGAAGCAGTGAACAGCGAGGTGTGCGAGTTGTAAGTTGTAGGACAAACCCCAAACAACCACAGCTTGCACCTGGCAAGCTGGATATAAACACAGAACGGCTGCGTGTCTCGCTCTCAACTCGACCTCTCCTGCCTCTCCGCATTTGGTGTTCCCTCCACTATACAACATCCTGAAGCCCGAGGAAGCAATCTGCAACCTCCCTAACTGTCTTGGCCCGAGGCCGCAGGCAGTCCCCGCAAGTGACTCAATTTGCGCGTGACATCTTTGCAAGTCTCGGCGTCGGAGGGCAGAGCAAGTGTCCCACAGCGGAGAGAGCTGAGCAGAGTTTGGGCAGGATAGGATGATGAGGCATCAACCCGTCCTCGCCGGGACAAACATACTCAATTCATGCGAAATCCGTCGGGGCTGACTTTCTCTGTCTGCGAGCAGAGGGAGACTCTGCGTAAGCGTGTTCCCTCGGAACGAGGATTGCAAAGGTGAAACAACAGACACATTGAAGAACTCAACAAGCGAAGAGCGAAGATAAATGACAGCCCACTCTGCCCCCGCTGTCCAGGTGAAATCTGCACGATGCTTGTTTGCCACCGTTCCTTGCCGTGACGCTACCGTCAGCTGCAGCCGTTCCTTCTTGCAGCTTTGAGTGTCTTCTGTTGCTAGGCTTGAAGATGAAAACAACGCCGATCCGTACAGGCAGCTCTCTTTGTCTCCCCAGCCCCCGCTATGATGTTCTCTCGTCATGATCTCGCACCGTATATAGCACACACTTCACCAAAATTGATTCAAAACCAGCAGCTTCGGCACATGTGTTCATCTAGCGGTACGAAAGGCTACATGTGCTTCGTTCATATGACGCCAGACGAAGTCACTGCGGTTGTCGCTAACTTGAGACTTTGCGCAATCATGCAGGTTCAGCTACATTGTCCACTCCACCTTGTCGGCAAGAAGCCAGTTGGCCGTCCGTTCTTCTGTGTCATTCCGTCTCTATCTGCCACTCGTGTGCAGCCAGAACTGCAAACTGAAGAGCATAAGCAGAATCAGCGCACTGAAACGGAAACCACAGAAAATACGCCTTGGAAGGGCCAACAATGCCATGAAAGGGATAATGGTGCTTAGAGGCTTCGCGGCAGCCTTCAAGCCCACAAGTCAAAAGCCCAGCTCGCCCCATTACCCGGCACGCTTTTCCACATCGCCGAGCGTCGCCCCCTGTCCAACATATTGTGGCTCACGGGCCTCACTGGACGTCGATGAAGCCATCCCTGCCGTCCTTGCAGCGAAGTATCGTGTCTTTCCTCGACCCACGATCCAGAAGACCGGCCTCTGCTAGACGCACTGGAACGCTTCTCACCTCGCAAAGTTCTTGGCCGCGGCCTTGTCCTTTCGAGCTCACCCGGCACTCAAGACTCAAGCGGCCCAACTGGGCTCGGACGTTTGAAACTAGGTTCTCTGGCTTCATGTGCGGTCCTCCAAGGAAGCCAGGAAGGACAGACCCGTCCAACCCAGAGTGCTCCTGCAACCCGCTGGCAAAATCTTCGCCGAGTATGCAGATCTTTCGCTGCCTCAGCGCACAGTGGATCTGATTGGTGGCAAAGCCACTGCAGTTAGATGTATCAGTGCGTAAGGCCTTCGAGAGACCACACTAACGTTACATTCATACATACATACATACATACATACATACATACACACACACATGTACACATACTGTGTAGGTGTATATGTATACACACTTCACATCATTCGAGAAGTTGTTCTGATATGTTCTGATAGTCTTGAAGCGGCATCCGACGATTAGGACAGGCATGCAAGGACTTGACAAAGCTAGTTAAACAGAAGCTTTAGGTAGGGTTACGACCAATACAGGCCCATTTCAAGCAAATGCTCTTAGTGGTGGACATTGTCGGAACGGCTTGAGTTTTAAGCCGGGGAAGATTGAAGATTGAATCATTGAAGGTTCCTGCAACGGTTGTGCTGTAATCTTCGAATTAGGGGGTGGCTTGAAAAGCTTCAACCGGCTCGAGATTCAAGCCGGGTCCTGGACATGGCTCGGATTTTAAGCTGATACCTTGTAATGGGAAGATTCAAACCTTACTAAAAAATCTTCAATTTTCGCCGGCTCGGCTTGAAATTCAAGCCACTCCAGGCCGTTTCACAGGTTCGATTTCAAGGTGCGTAAAATCAACACGGTCCTTCGCTGGGAGAGCATTTATGGCAAAAGGAGTGGATGAGCCGGGGGGGGCTACCATGTGCATGCATGTATGCATGTATGCATGTAACAAATGTATGTATGTATGTATGTATGTATGTATGTATATGTAATTGTAGCATATTGTAGTGATATTGTGTGTGTGTGGGTAGATGAACATGCACATGTCCCCAACTCTCAACATCACTGCCTCGCCCTCTGATTTCGAGGAAGGCTCGGGCTCCTTGGGTCCCCGGCATGGCCGGCGTCAGATGGCTCTTCGCAAGGCCCCACAATTTGGCGAAGACGAAGGGAGCACGGATGATGGTCACAGAAAAGTTCACCTGCCCCAGTCTTGTAGCGCCGACTGCAGCGACTTGCAAAGAGACTCGCGACGAGTGCATCCAAGATGGTGCTGCCCCGGCCTCCGGGAAGTTGTTCTTCCCGGTGGAACTCAGCTGTGCATATTCCCACTGCTGTTGCAGTCTGACTATAGCCAGCACCTTGTGTTAGTCTTAAGCGTTCTAAACGATGGAATGCCGCCAAGACACATTATCTTCCGGATCACTGCGCGGTGACGCAGAACTTGTGAGCCTAAACCTGTCATGCTGAACCGTTCCCTGCTTCGCATCTGCTCCGCAGGCACAACGACCGAATCCCATTGAGCTCCCTCTGACGTCTGATCCACAGCCCCGGCAGGGTGGCCTTTGGCATCGATGAGCAGCCGTGCCTGGACAAGCTGCTTGCGACCTGCAAGTTGGACATCAACTTGCCGCTGACTGCTACGAGGATGTTTCGAAAGCTCTGAGCTGCAGCTTGAACTCTTTTTCCCCTGCGGCAAGCGAGCCAGACCGAGAAGAAGTGACAACCTCGATGCAGGGACCACGTGCGTGCGTCTGGACTCCGGACACTATGCACATAACAAAACAGTAGTTGTTTGTCTGAAGTTCGATGACTGCTTCACTTGACGACATCAAGAGACCGATCTTCTTCCAAACAAGATGCAAGGCATGCCTTTCTGCATGCCCAGACCTGTCGTGTTCGGCGCGAACCTTGGTAGACTGCAGTGTGCACCAGCTCTCAGGCATGGCAATCACATCCCTGTCGAACCGAATGGAGCTTGAACAGCATGAGGCCACTCTCCCGGCTTTGCCTCTGAATCTTGAAAGGATGGCCACGCACCCTTTACATCCCAACCTATGCTCGTCGTTTATTTTGGATGGCCCACCCCGTGCTGCAACCACGCAGCAGACGGCAGCAGCCCAACACGACGGCCTCCCCGGTCGCTGTGGCCGATGCTGCGGGACTTGCTTCCCTGGACAGCCGCGTAACTCTGGGGCGAGGGTTGCGACAAAAAGCCCAGCGCAGGATGGCGCGACGAATTGTAGACTGACCCACGGGCGGAAGCTCAAAAAATATGTTAAGTCTAGAACATCGGCCTGCCAGAGCCATCGCAAAGAGCTGTAGCATTGTCATGGATCGGTGCAACATCAGCATAAAGATCGTGGGCACGCAATCGAACCACTCCGCACAAGACCAGCATTACTACTAGTTCCTGCCGTAGCTCATTGGATGGTGTATGCTGGTGTGTTCCGACTTGGCTCACCGCCTGCCGGCTTTTCAACCGCTTCTGCAGATAGCAAACCCTTCAGCGCGCAGCTGCCTGCTTGCAGGCGAACCAAGCGCTTGCCCAGGCTGTCAGTGACTTCCTTAGAAATTCCATGGCTTCACGACGGCTCACGCTGTCCCTAGCTGCTTTACGATTCACCCTTACATGAACTTGGCTCCAAGCATCGCTCCCAAAACCAGGGGCCCCCTTGTGGTGTGTGTTTCCCGCCTTGCCTCGCGCCGCGCTGCCCCGAGCCAGTTTTCTTCGCCCAGCAAGCCGAAGTCCTCTGCACATGTGTGGGCGAAGAAGGTTTGAGACTCATGCTCGTGCACCATTGAAAACTTCGCCCTAGAGGCACGAAGCGGAATGGTTCGTACGGTCGCAACAGACAGTCGTGGCGACATGCAACCGGCGCACCTCCAGCGTCAGCCTCGTATGGTGACTCCTGAGTTCGGCAAAGCTTCGGTGACCTTCTGCCTGCAGTGGACCAGATCCGACTGCTAAGTGCAAGACCCCAGGTTTGGCAGCCAGCTCAGAGGCAGCGATGCCGAGCCAAAGCCAGCGAGGCCACGCTTTGCACTAGCTCCAATGAACGCAAAGGCAGCCGTGATCTGAGGGACAACGCTCTTCAGGACTCTTGGAAGGACCGCTTCAGAAACCCTGCAGTGTGTGTAACATTGGCTTATACTATTTATTAGCTTCGGGTAAATCCCAAATGGTTCCTACTGTAAACTCTCTCCCCGACTGTATGCCATGGCACAGATGCCATCTGTGCTTTAAATTGCACATGTATCCACGCCTCACCCTCGCAGGCATCCAAGACCTCCAGCGTGTCCATTGCGAGAGCAGCCATTGCCAAGTCCTCTGGGACATGCGAGAGGACTTGGGGGCAGACTGGACCCGACCACTTGCTTCTATCTGCTTGTCTGATGTTGGGGCAGCCACACACACGCTGGGCTTCCGATTCCAAGTACGTCTGCACCTATAGCTACTATAGCCTATAGCTGTAGCTCTAGATCACACGAAATCCATCTCTGACTTGGGCCTTCTTCAAAGCCACCTGCTCTGAGTCCCTTCGGCTGCTCCGGAGAGTCTCCCTCATGCGCCGAAGCTGCGCTCGTGCGCTGCGGAGTGTACGCTGAGGCAGCGCCAGGGTCTGCAAAGATGCTGGCGTCGAAACAGATGCTTCCAATGCATTCGCGCAGAGAGCAGCGTCGGCTTCGACACTTTGCTGGTCCATCCGCTCAAAGATCTGCAAAACTAGCGCCCAATGACTTGGAGTCAGAGCGCAGCACACCTTAGCCCAAACTCGGCCAGTAACATCTACAGGTAACGCCAGTGCGAAATGGCACTTGCTGGTGTAGAAACTCCTGTCTGCCCCTGTCTGCATCACAGGTGGCAGCACCAAACGCAGCTGCGTCCGGGGAAATCTGCCAAGCCTTCTCTGTGCAGTGGCTACACGTCCAGAGGCATGTTTCGGGGTCTTGAGTCAAGTGAGTACATGTCGGCCAGCCCTCATGATTCGAGATCTGAGGCATGCGTGGCTCAACATCACCCACGCCTCCATGGACTCCAGCAAAGCCAAGCTTTCTTTGAGGCGACCCGCTTTGGAGCATGAAGCCATGGCCGCGCTACCTGATGGACCAGACGACACGACTCGTGCCATTTTGCAACTCCACATGTTTGGGATCCGAGGTGTTTCGGGATCCGAGGTGCAGCTTACAGCGTTCGGTGCCACCTCCTCATTCCTCATCGTCGCCAGCAGGGCCAGTGAAGCTGTCCATGCGCTGCACTTTTCCTGGGGCTTTCGATTCGTTTCCACTCTGGCTGACCCCATAAGTTGCCGCACCTCGTCGACTGGTACTTGTATGTGACATTGCTGACAGCTACAGTCAATCAATGTAGTATCATGTTCATGCCACTTCGCGCCCAGCACACGTACAGGAACATTCAGTGGGAAGAGGAAACACAAGGTGCCTGTACGCATCAGGGGCCCTGGTTCCTCCAGAAGTCCATCGCCACTGCAAAGTGCGAGTGCCGGCCGGTCTTCTTTCCGCTGTTTCTGTTGTCGAGAAAGCTGCAAGACACAAGTTACGCTTCTTTTAAGTCTTTTGACTTGCCGTAAAGCACAAGCCCCAGTCATCGGCATTGCCGCTGCTCAGGGTGGCATGTTGGCATGCCATCCTGTTTGATTTTGATTCCTTTCTTCAGCCTGCGTTTCTTTAGGTGGTGAAACTTCTCGCAAGTAGAATTGGTCTTGTTTGCTCCACCGCTGCCACACTTGGCCCCGGTACAGGTCGCCGGGACCTCCACGACACGATTTAATGGGCCTGTCGCACTGGTCCATCTGTTTTGGGATTTTTTTTGGGCTAAGTAAGTGTACTCAACATCAACTTACTACTCATCACCTGTCATCAATACGTCAATGCCAGGGTTTGCAATGCTCCTTCATTGAGCTGCTACATGTATCTTCGACCGGTTCTCGAAGTCCCAGGGGCGCAGGCGCTGAGCGCAGCGCTAAAGCCACGGACACCAGGCAAGCAGCTTTCGCAGCGCATGGTGACGATGAGCTGGCAAGCTCTCTCCCACTGGAGGCCTCGCACACTTCCCAGTCCCCCTGTTTCCTGTGAGATGCCCTCCTGCTCAGACCGTGGACGGGCCGTGCCTTTTTCACAGGCACTGATAGCAGCATCGAAGCTTCGAGAATCTGCGAGGCTACTCTGCAGCATATGGGACACCAGCGCCTCAGTCCATGGGCAGATTCACTCGGGTCAAGGTTCGTATCTCAGAGGTTCCCACCAGGCTTTGGCGCCAGAAGCCACCACAACGCTCAAGGGCGCCTGAGACTTGGCATCACAGCTGCAAGCATGGCTTCTGTATACTTCCTCTTGATGGCATGGGGCTGATGACAGCGCTGAAGCCCGGTGTTGTTACAGCGGCGCCTGCTCAGGAAGCTCTAGGGCTCAACCCCCAACACAACCTCACCCCACATACCCCCTGTCTAGCTGCTACTGGTAGCTTCCTCGCCCCCACCTCCACGTGTCAGCACACCTAAAGTCCCAAAACGCCCGCACCGACATCGACGGGCCGAGGCTGCCTCGGCCAAGGAGCTGCCACAACGCCAGCAGCGCGTGCTGCCATCGTCGGGAGCGGCAGAGCGCGTGGAGCAGTGAGTTGTTGCTTTGCCTTCGAACTTCGACTGGCATCCAGAACAAAGAGCTTCTTGCAACGACAGTGACAGAGGCTTTTACTGCAAATCATCGCCCAGCGGCCCATCAGCCCTCACGGAGTCGTGTTCATCCAACTCCGTGTAGACAGCAAGGGCCTCTTTCCAGCAGGCCCCCTTTGCACATGCATTAATAACTGAATTGTAGGTGATGAGGTCCGGATCCGGCAAGCTCCGAGTTGTTCCTGGCACGCCTGCGTGCATGTCTGCCTCGGGAACAGGAGGAAACGCTCAATCTAGCTGCACAACTACATGCTGCCAAACGCAGCAAAGGCTCAAACAGATGAAGTGATCGATGCCACTCGGAACATCTTGCCCATGCCGCAAGCATGGTGTTCCAAGTCACGATGTCGGGTGTCAGATTCAGATGCATTGCATCCTGCCAGCCAGCTTTCCCATTTCACCACTGCTGCTTACTCCGGCACCGGATGAGGTCCTGCAGAACTTTTTGCGCTTGTGACCACCGGCCAGCCTGTCACGTTTGCACACATAGAAAGATTAAGGCTTCAGCTTTGAAGGCATGTGGACTGACAGTCCCACGACCATACAGCTTCTTCAAAGTCAAACCACCTTTCCACATGCCGCAATGGCTGCATTGAAAACCACAATGTCTGCAGAAGGTTGGACCTGCAAACGACAGGAGGTAAATCCGCCACGGTCACAGCCTGTCCTGGTGCTGGCGCACCTGGGCAAGGAAGTCCAAGGCGTCTTGCCAACGGCTGGCTGCTCCGAGGGCAGAAATTCTGACCTGGCTTGGCCACTTACCGCTGGCTTCGCCGCACAGGAGAGCACACGGCTAATGGCTTGTGGCCGAGCGACACTCCAAGCCTTCGGATCACACAGAAGCCGTTGGGCACCCAAGCCGTCGCTCTGCGCCAACAACTTGTCACAATCGGAGGGGCCGGCATCCATGGCGGGCGGTGGCAGGAAAGTGGTGGATGTTGCGATCAGAATTCTCACGGCAGCACAAAATGCACGGCATGGCCAAAATGCTCTTCGAGGTGGGTGGGCTATCGCTCGAACTCAACAACAGCATGCAGCACTTTGAGGCCCTGGCGCAGGGACTCCGCACGGCCACACTGCAGCAAATCCTGAAGAAACAATCACAACTGGTACAGCCCGTGCTTGGAACCAGTGGATCGCACGCCTCGGCTGTCGGTTGCCCTTCCCATCGGCTGAGGGATCAGAGTGAAGCCAAAAAATAACAGAATTCGCATTTCACATACCAACCGAAATAGAAACGACTTTCGGAACACTAGTAGCAAAACATCATGATAATAGAAGTAGCTATCATCATCGCCATCATCATGACCATCATCATCAGCAGCAGCATCATCATAGCCATTCGTGGCAACAATAGTCGTACTGATCGTAGCATCGTAGCATTAGTGAACATTTTTCATTGTCGATGTAGTAGGCAAACAGTGACAAATGATAAATCCAAAAGTACGGGTGACAGTGATTGCAACAGGACGAGTAGCCGCAATAGCAACAGAGCCACTCTAGCCGAGCACTGGGATCTCCAGTTCAGATGGCTGGGAGTCGTTCTGAATTATTGCCCAAATACCATAACTTACAGCAGTTCAGAGTTTGATAGTGGTTGATCCGTCTTTGGTCTTTTTGATGCCTATCCACTCTCAGCTCCAATCTCGGTCGTACCATGACGCATAATAAATTATGCAGTCCTCGAGGTGCGACACAAAGCCGCGAGTGATGATGGACACAAGATCCTCCCATGCACAGAAGGCTTTAGCCATACTATGCATAACTTTAACATGATTTAAGTCAACCGCCTACATTGCAGAATCCACATTATTCGTGCACCCGGACTGGTTGCCAGTGTCCTCGCGCACATACCTCGCAAAATGTCGAGCTTGTGGGAGGAATGCCAACAAAGCCTCCGCCCTCAACTTATCTCCTCTGTGTCGCGTCTCTCTGTCTCAATACTTATTTTTCGCCCAACAGGTCATACTGGGTTCTGCTACGTGCTGTTCTGCGATTAATTCCCGTCTTTGCTTTGCTGAGAATCACTCGTCTGCTTCGCACTGCTTCACTAAATTGCTCCCAGTACCTGGTTTCGCGTCAAGATTTCGCGCTGAACTCCGAAATTCAGAGATGGTGCCCATCCAAGTCAGCGGCCCCCAGTCGCCATATGGCCACAGGCTCGCCGCCAGCGCTACGCTGCGAAAGTCGGCCAAAAAAGCCTGGATACAGCAAGCGGCAAGTGCGGAGGGCTACGAGATGCTACGAGACTTGCAGCTGAAAAGCCGTACTTCTTCACCAGCGAGGCTTCTCGCGAATGCAACTCTGGATGCCAGCGCCAGCTTGTCGGATCTTCAGCCGCGCGATTGCCATCCAAAGTGTAGGGCTCACCAGTGCCGAATATCATCATCACCTGACAACTCGGGCGAAGGTGACAAATCCAAGCAGCTCCAAACTCGCCCAACTGAAACCAGGCCGCATTATGCCCACCTCACAACAGTTGTAGTTCTGTGTTGCAGCCGGGTGGCCGACTGGATGGAGAAGGTTGCCCGCCATTTGATGGTGGCCCGATACATCACGGCAGCAGCGCTGACATCAAAGTCACGCGCTTTGAGGAAACCTTGGGACTTGGGAACGGTCATGCTCTACGGCCCTGGCCGCGTCACAGATCTATGCAATGCCTTCCGAATCTACATTGCAAGTCAGCCACGAAGTAACATCAGCCTCGGACACTGCATTTGCAGCTTTGGTTGCTGACGGCAGGTGCTGCTGCAAACTCACTGTGTGCCACCAGCATCAACTAAGAACATAGCGCCCCAGCACAGATGACCAATGCTAAGTCTTTCGATAAGGGACGGATCGCACAAAGGCTCCATCTGACCCCTCGCAGCCACTCGCCTTCCAAGTTCGGCCACCTGCTCCAAGTGCCTGTCAATCTCGGGCAAGCTTGAAAACGCTTCATGCTTTCCCGCTATGGGTATAATTTACTCTTCTATTTTGAGGTCTGCCTTTCGCCTGCCTCCGGTTCCGGGGCTTCTCGTCTCTGTCGTTCGGGGACTCAGTTCTGCCTTCTTTTGATGCTTTGCCAAGTCGCTCCGCCGGAACGCCAGCTCGGCGCGCTGCAGCCAGCTCCTCGTGTGTGTGTGTGTGTGTGTGTAACTGCAGTAGTGAAGACGCCGACGTCATGGGTGCGTCGTGAATACAAAATTCGCGAAATGGATGTGCGACGCGGCGGAATCCAACGACCAGCTAGGCTGGCAGATGTACGGCTGGAGGTTCATGAAATTCCATGGCGGATGCTTCAAACCGGCCACACACGCAAGATTATACAGGTCATGCATTGACACGGTAAATATGCAGCTTCCCCATGCAGAATCACGTGAAGCCACTCTCCGAGAGATCAAACCGTCGTGGGCCGCTCCTCGTTGGCTTGAGGAGGCCGCCCAGATGCACAGTTCCTGTCAAACCGACTGCTCGCAAGCTGCCTGCGCGCCTGCCTGCATGTTGGATCAATCTTGGCCATCCTGTCCGTTTTCAAATTGTGTGAGAACCACCAGACTACACCGAAGCAGGAGGCTTCGAAACTGCGTGGCGGTGGGAGCGTGCCTCCACCCTTCCGCTCACACTTCTGGTCATTGCTGTACCGTTCAGAATAGTCCCAATCGGAACAACCCTCCAGTCACAAAAGCACGCACAAACCCAGCTCAAGACGTGTCCCCAAATTAAGAGCCATGGTTACGGCCTCTGTTCGGCACCTCTCGGTGCTGGTTGCGCCGACATGTCTCGCCACCAGAAATGCCGAAAGGCCGCCAGGGAAAGGAACCTCGCACATGCATCATGTCGCGAAATCGTGCTTGCTGGGTGCATGCTGGGTGCAACCTGGTCTGGCTCGTGCACTTCATCTCCAAGAAACACTGTCCAGAATACAAGTGCTCGGTCAGCATAAATCCATGCCGTGAGCAGCACCGCCGCAACGGCGGCAAGCCTGACAGTTCAGCGTCTCATCGCAACAAGAAACCCTCCCTCGTCTGCTGTTGCGGCTATGCAGCAAGCACTGAAAATCACATGCCCTGTGACGAAGTATCTACATAATAGCATATCGCCATGTCCAAACTCGCAGCACCACAACATTATCACGATTATGGTGGCAAGAGTCTTGTCCATGAGGAGGATCTTTGCAGGGCTGATAAACTTGGTGGCATCTGCCGCCATTCCATGGGGCACGGCGCGATAAGGCGACAGAGCCAGTTCCTCCCCTTGCAGTTCTTCAGCTCGTGCTTGTGCAGCAGCGCAAGCTTCAAGCCGGCTAGCCAGCAAATGAGATCAACCCATGTCGAACTGCAACTTGGTTTTGCAGTCGCAGATAGTTTCCACTGGCAAGTGCTGCCTGCATGACTCCAAACATGCCCTTTCATGAAAATTGCATCTCTGTGAGCCACAGCGACAGTAACTGATGCTGAGGTTGTGCTAAGATCAAGACTGTCCACATGCCACAATCACGCGTTAAACCATTGAGCTGTGGCTGTTCAAGTGACGGCTGGACTTCTTCACATCTGGTTACAACCAAGGCTGGGTGAGAATCCAAGCCCCTGACATCTACTGCCACCTCAACCTCAAGCTGAAGCACTTGTACGTCCTGGAAGCAGGTCTGAAAACGGTCAGCATGTTGTCACTCTCCAGCAGTACACTAGTCTGGCACGCTGTTTGAGTACCGACGGTCTGTCACTCCTCTCGCAAGAGATCCGAGAATGAGCCAGGGATGTTGGCCAGAAGTCGCCCCAAGTCCTACCATCCGTCCGGCAAAGAGCCAAGAAGTCACACTGTCAAGTCAAGTGATCCTGGAGCTCGCCCAAGGCCCGTGCGGGCCGTCCTGCTGCGAAAGACTTACACACAACACGACGAAATCCTCCGCGTAAGCACCGATCCCAAGACAGCGGGCTGTTCTTGCAGTCCGGCTCTGCAAAGGGACAGGGCGGCAATGCGATGACCTCAGCAAGTCGTTGCAGGTAGGGATGTTCTCACAGACCAACTCTACAAATCGACAGAGCGAGAGAGGGAGAGAGAGACACATACATATACATGTATATCTACATGTATATATACATATATGCCGGGAGAGAGGGCGTGAGAATAATGCAGTAGATAGGACATAAGACCATGTAACATAATATGGCGAATATGAAATCATAACATATTGTGTGTTGTAGTATAGTACAAAATTAATATACATAGCGTAAGACAGTACAATACACAAACATGCAATACACCGTCATATAATGTTGTACTTTAAAGTAATAAAAGGAAATTAGCAATGTACTACATAATGCCATATGATGTAATATGCTGTAATTTGGGGTAGGGTAAGAAGAAATCACGTATTCTACCCTAACACCAAGTCAGCAGAAGATCATTTCAGACATATACGACAATATAGAACGACAACAAAAAATATATGATCTCACAAGATAGTACATTACAAATGGTATGAACATATATATATATGTGTGTGTGTGTGATTGTATGTATGTATGTATGTATGTACGTATGTATGCATGTACATATATATATATACATATATATATACACACACACGACCATACCTGCTTTTATAGGTATACAGATATACATACATGCGATGTGCTGTGCGTGCATGCGTGTGTGTGCGCATATGCATGCACTTGGATGGCTGGCTGGATGGCTGGATGGATGGACGGATGGATGGATGGAAGTGATAAGCATGACAAATGCATCCACATGCGTACATGTATGCTTCCATGCCCATGCATATGTCTACATACAACTAAACTGAATACGACAACATGACAACATATCATGACAGGAAGTGTAGGTAAAGGTACCTACGTGTCTCTGTGTGTGTGCGCCCCACCGTATCTCGAAAGCCCGGTTCTGGGTTTTCCTGTGTTTTGATCGTTGTGGAGCCTGGCGGCTCTGCCGACATTTCCCCATGTCAGGCTTCGGAGGTTTGTTTGGGCATGCATACAGCCAGCCAGCCAGACAAACAGAGAGATATACATATATATATATATATATGTATGTATATATGTTCGGTACACCAGCTTCTGACTTGTATTCCTCGGTGCGCATGTCAAGCACCCGCCGATCCACCTATCTGCTCTGTTCCAACCTGAGGTCGCTGGTCGACGGTGTGACTTTCGCAGTATGATCGCGGGCATTTTGTGCGATCAAGTCGGCAGCTCACCAGGGCTGCGGTGAAACGCTATGTAGTTCAAACTCATGCATGGAAGGCAGCACCTGTCCAGTGCTCTACGATGGCCACAAGACCTTCTCCTCCAAGTCAGGCAACGCTTCTGCCTCAACTCGCCCATGCACTTAACACGACACTAAGTCCGAAGCTGTGCAAGCATCTGAACTCTCTTTCTCCCAGGGCAGCCCAGAGACAAGCGCCACCCCCTGCCAAATATGTTCATGCGTTCGGCATTCAGCTCTTGTTGTCATTGCTATATATTGCTATGCTGTACATATGCCAGCTTCTAAAACCACATCATGCAAGACACTCCTCCCTCTCCTCTCCTTTGGCTCTACTGGTCAGACTGCGCGAAAGAGGTCTTTGTCATGCCCCGTTGCGAGCATCCACTATGCATCGGGCTCTTCAGCTGCATCGGACGGCTGCATCGGGCTTCGGGGATCAAGTACACGGGGATCAAGCTGTTACGTGCTACGCCAGGCAGAAAACCTACATCGAATGTTGATCCCTCACGGTATTGCCATCAGCCTCCAGGCACCATGTGAGTGGCGCGGGTGCTGCCAGCGCCGCTACACGCCGCCTTCCCCGCCGCAGCAGCCACACTTCATCGCGGGCACGGTAGCCTCCAGAACAATCCAGAGCCAGTGGCTGCACTCCTCGCTACTCCGGATGTCTGCAGCACTTCCAACCAAGGTGTGGAACCCATCTCCAAGCCAGGCCATTGGCTGCACTGGCCTGCCAAGCGCCACCGGGCGTGGCTGTGTTTCAGCTCGGTGGTTTCCCACGCAAGCACCTTGGGAAAGCAGTCTGTCGAGTGCGCGTGGCCAGAAAGCTCTTCTTGCCTGACCTGATCTGCACTGCGGCCATTCGCACCAAGGAACACTTTGTGGCACCTCATGATCTGGCAGCTCCTGGAACAACAGCATCTTCCAAGTCGGAACCGTTTCCAGCTCTTTGGCATGATTGAACCTTTGGGACCCCTCGAGACAGTGCTGCGAAAAAGCTCAACCTCTGCTGCCGCACGCTGTGAGCCGTTGCGGCCAGTAAGTTGTCACCCAGTCTTCACACAACGAGCCGGGTCTGGAACAGCGAGAATGCACGACCGATCACCACCGGCTCGCTCCTGTGACACGAGGATCTCCACCATGTGGCGTGCGGAGCTCGCAATATCGTCTGGCTGCGGGCCCAGGCCGTTAAACCTGGTTACCTGGTGGGACGGTTGCCACCACTTCCACCGAAAACAGAACATGTCCAATTCGAAAGATGTCCAAACTGATTGCACATCTGCCATTGATACCGTACCAAGCTGCTGCGGCTACAGCAAGCGGCAGGGCGATGGCCTTTGCTCTGACTGGCTTGCTCAGCCTGGCATTGCTAGAAGTGTCAAGAATCCGTACAGGAATCCGAGTCGCGGAGGCTAAGCTGCAACAGAAACAATGACTCTCTGCGACATCTCAGCCCACTGCTGAGATGCATCTGCCAAAAATGCTTGAGACCCTGTGCGAGCCTGCAGCCCATCACGAATATCAGCACCGCAACCTCGTCAGCGGGCCCGACGAACCGTCCACAGCAGTCAGTAAGCTCAAGCCGAAGCGTGCAGACTGCGCTCTGTGGGCGCAGACTGCAGACATTGCAATTTTTCTCAAAGGAGAACCAATGGAAAAGCTGCTCGCGACTCTTTCCCCATGCCGCAGCCCCGGCCTCCAGGAGCAGGTTGGCGGCACTGCGAGTCTTGTCCAGCTCAGCGCTGAGGCGGGAAACGTAGTCCTCACTAACACGCTGTGGGGAGACGTGAAACTGCAGGCAGTCTGCGAAGGTTTTGTAGCCAGGTCTCAATTGAGAAGCTCCATGGAACTTGTGGATTCGAAGGTTCTGAGCCAGGAGAATTCGTCAAACCCTTCACAGCTTAGCTTCCGTGCGCCTCTGCCGGCGGCCCAATGCAGGGCTCTCCAAGCACGGAGCACAGCTGCCCGAGCAGGACAGCGGATTTGCCTCCAATGCGAATTCGGGGCTCCTTTGAAGGCAACTCGGCTTCTCAAGTTCCTTTTCAGTCAGGAGGCAACACGGGGTCTTGCACCAGCGAGCCGGCTGCTGGCAGCAACTTCTCCTTCACACAGCACACCAGTAGCTTGAAGGCGATGTTCAAACACACTTAGATTCTGTTGAGTCGCAGTTTCGGGCCTGAAAAGTGACGCCCCCTTGCCGTAACTGTCGGCGAAATCGGGGCACGCCATGTCTAGGAGCGTTTGCAGTGCCTTGCAGCTGGGTGCCCTCCAAACGAACACGGAAATTTAAGTCACGCGCCCCACCGGGAGTGCCAATGTTGCATGCAAGCAGCACGCAGTCATGACTCTCTTGGCAGGACTGGCAGCCGCCTGGCGAATAGCGGGTTGTTATCTCGCTATGCGCAAGGGAGCTACTGGTTTTTCCTGCCTCGCTCGCAAATATTGGCACGGTCATGGCATGGGAAGCCAGGGCTTTGGCCCAAAGCACCTGGCTTTCGTGAGACGAAGCCATCGTCTGAATCATTTTTGCAAGGAGGTTTGTGCCAATGCGCTGGCCTGGTGTACAGCTTCCCACGGCAAGTTTCCGGAAGGGTTTCGCCAGCCAAACTCCTCGATATTGAAACTCAATGTTTCCATGCGGTGAACTCGTCGAGCCGAGCATCTCCCCATCCTTCTGCCGCTCACTTCGCCAGCGCGCAGCTGCTAGATGCTCAGCAGTGCGCCCATGCAACGACAGCGCTTCAGGAAGCGCTTGCATGCCTTCTCTCGCTCTCCGGTGTGCTCGGGACGTTTTCTCTCTCTCCTTCTTTTTCTCCTTGCTTACTTGCTTGCTTGCACGCCGGTTGGGGAGTGAGGTTACCCTCACATCCCCTTCGCTCACGCGCTACGGCCCTGTCCGCAGTCTCTCTCCCTCCCTCTCTCTTCTTCCGCCGGGTCATAGGGCCCCCAGGTGTTAGTGGGGCTTTCGGGGGTGTACTGCTGCTCTCTCTCTCTCTCTCTCTCTCTCTTTGCTTTGCTAGGGGCGTGAGGCACCGGCAGTCCCGATGCCCCACGCTCCAGGCGCTTCCCCATCCATCATGTTGACCGGAGAGGGTCTGCTGTACGAGGGAGTGTCCGTTTTTCCTACTTGTAAGGGCCTCTGAGGAGGCAGGTCACCCGCACTTCGAACACAACAGAAGCAAGTACATACCAGTAAGGGCCACTATACGACCAACACCTTGCAACGCAGCGGGTGCCCCTGCATAGTGGTCCTACAGCTGTATCCCAACCTCACCTGCCTTGTCCCTGCCTGCATCCCGAACAGAAGCCTTACCCCGCAACAACCTGCAACCTTGGACTCAAGCAGAATCACGTCCCCCGCCCCCCTAAGACGAAGGTCGAGAGCTCAAGGTGCCCACGGCAGCCAGGTTGTTTTGCGGGATGAGGGGAGGGCTTCAGATCGGACACAGCGTGCACCCGTCCCCCCATCGACTGCGAAATTTGAGGCAAAATGGCTTGAGCCAACCTATCTCTCTTTCTTTCGCCAGGGCTATGGGTAGGGGAAGTATCCTCTCTCCCTTTCTCTCTCCCTACATGGCGTGAAGAAGGCCCGCGGTTCCTTGGCGGGTTGCCCGAACTCTCTCTCTCTCTCTCTCTCGCTCCTCTTCCTTCAGGTTAAGGGAGCGTGCGAAGCTCCCCGGCCCATAGGGCCCCCCTTGTTTCTGGGGCTTTCGGGGAGGGCGCTGTACGTACCAGTTCACGTAGCGGGGGTCGTTGT